ATTAATATAATTTATGATTTCACTGTTTATCAGTTTTTTTCTGCTATCAGTGAATATGCAAGGGCTAGAGACTAGATTAGTTCTACTAGAACTACCTCTCTTGTCCTCGCCAGATAGTTATGTATATCTCTATCTTCGTTTTGTACTTTGTAATGTAATTTATCTGGTGAAATAAAATTGTATTGTATTGTATTGTATGCTTTGGTTAAATTGTATACTGAACATGGATATGTTTTCATTTTCAGGTGAGCAATGTTTGTTTCACTGGATTATCACTGAAGAGTTTCTTCCTGTTTTATTTGTGATGACAATTTACACAAAGATGTTTTAGACCCCACTCCACCCCTCTAATTTTTGCATATCTAGCCCAGATAAGTAATTTGAAGCTCAATAATACCACACTTTATATAGACTTATCTGTTATAGGGGTCTTACATTGCCCACAAATTATTTTTATGCAACAGTATTTTTAATATATTTAACCGTAACATTACGTAGCGCAACATTTTATTGTAACAATGTTTACATTATAAATTATTTACACAAATTGTATATTTAGTTTTCTGCATGATATTTGACAACATCATATAAAATGTTAATCTCTAGCAAGTATATGTGTAACAACGAATAAACAATTAAAATAGAGACATTGTACATTAGGATGGACTCATTGTATATGTGTAACAACGAATAAACAATTAAAATAGAGACATTGTACATTAGGATGGACTCATTGTAGTTAAATGGAATGTCCTATTCAAACTGCATTACAAGTAAATAAATATGAATTTTGTATACTGCTACTGTATGAGTTCAATCTGATACACATACATAATTTTACCATTATAAAACGTCAACAAAGATCTTGCATTCATCTATATACATATATACATGCCAGGATACTATGCCCGGATGGCTTCCATGCCACCACCTCTTGCTAAGTCTTTGGCTTTTCGTTCAGACTGTCTTCTGTATCTCTCAAGTTCCTGAAATAGAAGTAGATTACAGGTATTATCTAGAGTAGAGTTATTACCGGTATATCAAATTTTTTAGAGGTCATTAGTAGTGAATTTCACACACCAGAGATGCTATAAAGTGTTCCAGTGTAAAGTGAATTCAATATTCTTTGACTGCACGACGAACATAAAAGCATTTCTGCCTTGGCTTTGCTCATACTGCCTTAAAATTGACTCAAAACTAATGATACCCCAGGATTCAATCCATTGACCAAATGGTTATAAAATAAACAAGCTGAATATAGCTAAATTCATATTTCAGTGTTTTTAGCAAAATTGCTGCAAAGATGCACAAATAACATACTTAAACATTTATTCAAATTGGCTAATTAAAATGCATATATGGATGCCAAACAATTATAAGTCTTGCATCTACACAAAGAGTGTATTAATTCATTCAAATAAAGTGTTAAGATATATCAAAACATGCTGAGAGTAAAATATGAAGACTAATTCTAAAATACAGATAGTGTTAAACATTCAACTACACAAACAGTATACAAGTACTTAACAATTTTATAACTGCAAATGCTGTGCTTCGGTGAATAATTGTTACATCAGGGAGACAAATCTTCATATACTTTAAAGCTTATGGTTAATAATTGTTTAAATTTGTATTTCGAATTTGTTTACTAATGTTAAAATTGTGTGGTGGTGGTTTGAATGCCTGTAGTCTTAGCAGCAAGCACTGCAGTGTGGCGTCCAAAACCAGTCTCAAAAATCACTACCGTATTGTACATGTACAAGGTGAAATTTATTCTATTTTCAATGTGTTTATTGACAAGAATATTTTGAATGTAATACCCAGTTGCATGTTTGTTTAGTTAATCAAATTGTGTTCTTCAATTGTGTTATGTAATCAGCGATTAGAGTAGAGTATTAGAGGGGTATACTGTGATTTATTCTATTGCACATGACCGGCCCTCTCTAAATTGAAAATTAGATCCAGTATAGAAGTATGTGCTGAAGATATAATTCTTTCATTTTGATTCCTTTTCCCAGATTGAAAGTGTGAAGAAGTATGTGAATATGTGTATTATATACCGGTACATGCAAACAACCCATGTTTTATGCATGGACAAGACATATTTCAGTTCTTCACAGCATACCTCCTATTGATATGTATCAGTACCGGTAATTATATTTACCTCATCCTTCTGTGCTCTCATGTTATCTACAGCAGATTCAGAATATTGTGGATCTTTAGCTGGGTCTTCAGCAACAGAACTACTTATCTGAAAGAAAGAATTTATACCTAGTAGTAAGTTTAATGCTGACATTATAAAGCAAATTTCTCTGAAAGACCACATGGTAGCTGCCAAGATGTTACTAATATGATATTTCAGGTTGATGTTGTGACCATATATGGCCAATACTACCATTATGGGAAAGACATAACATAGGTACATACCTGTTGTGGAAAGAATGCTGTGTATGCTTGTTTCCATAATTCTAATGGATTCCTAGCTGTTAATTTACCAATGTCACCTTCAGCTACTGGTGGAGGACCTGTATAGCACATAATGGTAATGGTACCTCATTAACACAGAATTCTACTTGAAACCTTGCTTAAAGTTTTCAACCAATCAGATTGCTTCATTAGTAGGTTTCATAAACACTGAATGCCCAGTCACTAGAATTGGAATTGCACTATCAATGAGGTTTGTTCTCATTGATCATGCTGAACATTACCTAGCATAAAAATGTAAACTTCAATTGACCTCACTGTGATGGCGCATGCATTGTGGGATACAACAAAAGGGCTCGAAGCACGCGCACTGCATATACAATATGCTAATAATTTCAATGAGGTTAGGACGTAGACATATCTCATAAATATTATTTTAAAGTGCAATTATTAATTAATAGCATTTATTATGAAATGCCGGAATTATGTATATTTGGTCCTGACCCCCACTCTGTCTATTGTGGTTATTTGAAGACGCTACACTCTTTCTATCATACTAAACTGGTCACCAAATTTAACAAGTATTTCTGTCTTTTACACTTACACATATCTAAATCATATTTACCGGTATGTAATTCAGGCAATACAGTATGTCATTAATACATTCCCTATAGATACTTCCTAAACATATTTTTTCGTTGATAAAGTATACATTCACAAATTTATATTCAGTTCAGAAAAGCCATTTTCAAAACTTTTTGGAACGAAATTCCAGTTTAGGAAATACCAGTTAAGTTGCTACTGATACTGATAGTTAAAAAGAACTATGTTTATGTAGAAATGCATGTGATTATGACAAATCGGGGTTAGGGTTAGTGTGAAAAGAAAAACACTTACTAACCTATCTGCTGTAAGGAATCCATGCCAGCTGGCACAATAACTGGTTTATTTGGATCTACAGCCATGGCTTTACTGTAAAATAATCAACTCATATATTGTAAACATCCAGGTATATAGAATTGATATTGTTGTATATACACAACAGAAAACAAACAAAAACTAGGAGAATTTACACATACCTAGATGCAGTATTGAACACAAAGTGACTGATTAACTGACGTGTCCTAGTTACCAATGATTCTGTCTTCAAGCTACAGAACTATGAAGAAATTATCAAGTCACATGTAAAATTTAGTTTTCACTAGATGGGCACATTCTGTTCTAAACATTTTGGATTTCTGCATTCCCATGGTGTATCAGTGGAAGGAAAATATGTATAATAATAAGGTTATTACGAGAATACCTCAAACTATGCACTCAGACAGTATGCCACGCATTGACCTTCGCTGTCTTCGTGCATATTTTGAGGTTTTCACGTAATAACCTTATATTATTTTAGGAGACTCAAAACTAAAAGGAGGCTATTGCTATGTTCACATGGTAGCATTCTATCGGAGCCGAACTACTGCTCCTCCCACGGATTAACAGGAGATTATCTCCAATGCGTTCATACAGTCGGGAGCCGAACGAGAGCCGAACGAGAGCCGAGATCTGCCGGAGTTTGATTCAGCTAGTTCGATCAGAGCCAAATGGAACAGTGCCCTTGAATAATTATTGACTGAAAACGATTTTAGTGCTTGTGTTTGTGTTTTTTCTTTACATGGCATGATGCTGTTAAGCTAGGAGAAAAAAAAAGCCTGAGCATGAAGGTAGAAAATACAATGACTGGTATCATGAGTTAGGTACTAGTATCTCGAATAAACAGGAAACACGGCAGCTAATGCTTTTAATTCAGCCTATTCGCTCAAGTAATATTGTCATGAAAAATTACCATTTTGTAACTATTCAACTGTAGTGAACTACTAGGAAGAATCACAGATTCTCTCTATCTATCATAGAGGGACTATGGAAGAATCTAAACCTACCAGGAACACGTCACCGTACCGCGATCGCTTCTACTATTTTTATCTTTAGTGTCTTTCAAAGGTTTCCGTTCAGTCGTTCTTTCAAGTTTTTGTTGCATAATTTCGTACGCCATTTTTTGTTTCCCATTGAGCTATCAAGCTATCGCAATAATTCATTAATATATATTAGGCATGTATCTCTTATTCAAGCCGGAAATTGCGTGAAATTACGAAAGATGTTGTCTCCGCCATAATTGAAGTGAGAGGTTACTCGAAGAAGACGATTGAGGGCGTGATTTCGGCTCCGATAGTTGGGCCCCGATGAGTTTACACGATCGGAGCTATGTCGGGACTCAACCCTATCAGAGTTCAACCCCGAGGGTTTAGTGGAGCCGAACTTAGCTCGAGCCGAACGCGTTTACATGGCCATTTTTGCTGACTCGAGCTGTTGGGCTCTGATAAAATGCTGTCGTGTGAACGTAGCAATAGTGTCATGTTTGATATGGGTCAACATTGTTTATTTAAATATAATTGAAATGTGTGTTGCTGCCCTTGAAACTAATTTGTTGGAAGCTTGTTTCGAATAGATGGTGGTTCTGATTTTGCATACCTGTAATGTAGCACCATGACTATGAGCAACAAACCTCAGTGTTCTACATATCACTTTCCTCTTCTCAGAATCAAAATCCTACAAATAAAAAGTATTAAAATCGTTATAGTTCATGGAATGGAAAATGAACAACAGTGATTACAGCAATTACAAGTAGTACCAGTACAACAAAACTTAGAGCGAGACTTAGAGTGGTCTTTCATAAAAGTTAGTCTATTGTGCCATTCCTGTCGGTAGTTAGTTTCAACAGCAATATCTAGAAGAGTGTGCCTATTCTGTACTTTAAGGTGCAAGTTTGAAACCTTAATACATACTTGAAATACATCATATTTACAACCAATTATAACCAATGGAACTGGGAATGGTTCAATCATGTCCTTATCCTATGAATACACAAGAAATATGACATTGTTATATGTATAGTATGACTGAGGCATAGTAGATGAAACAATCTTTTATAAATAAACCTGCAGAATCAAAACATGAAATAATTATTTAGCCTACTAAATTAGGAAGAGGGTTTTCAACCCGCCTATTCACATAGTTCATACCCACCAGTCAGCCAAAGAAAAAATAGTCATTTTGACTGACCAGAGTCTATGGTGGGTAATTGAACATAGTGAATTTAGGCAGAGGGTTTTCAACCTGTCCATTCACATAGTTCATACCCACCATAGACTCTGGTCATTACCTCTGTCACGTGGTTCGTGACATGAAGGAAAATCTTGGGGTCCCCTGACCTAGATTTCTCTCTCTGTCATTGGCTGAATCGCAGATTAATGCCTACAGTTCAAAATAGTTATTTTGACTGACTGGAGTCTATGGTGGGTAATTGAACATAGAAAATTTATATATGTATCTTACGAAATTGATACATCAGTCAAATGATCTGCTGTGGTTGGGCACAGTTTATTGAAAGCAGAATTAAACACCTCAGCTGCATCACTTAGCATTCAACGTACCGGATGGTCCTCACCAAACTTACTCCATGCCTTATTCTTCATTCGTGGTTGAAGAGTGGAATCCCTCATGGATGCATCTTGCATCACCTTCTCTATTCTTTGCCTTGTTGTGTTTAACAGAGTTTCCATTGTATGCCATAGTTCATGGGGTTTAGATAAATCTAGTATTAATACTATAGCTAAATTCCTATTAGGGAAAAAAGTAAACAATCAATATAACTGATGGTTCAATAATTTCATACATTGTGGTAAATCTAAATAGCAAATTGAATAGGAAATTATTTTGCGGATTTATAAAACTCATAGATAAGGGATAACTGTAAAATGTCTCTTTTACCTAGAATGCTATTAAACTAATCCATGTAATTTGTATTCTTGCTCATTTAAAATGTAGCTAAGTTAGTAAATATTAGTACAATAAGATGTTTAGCACTTCAGGTAATATGACTTACTCAAGACACTCTGCATTTATTGGTATTTCCACCAATTTAGATAAAAAGGTACCGCCTCCTAATTCCCAAATATGACCTACATCTTTTGCCTTGATGGAGAGAAAACATAGTTAAAAATTCATTGTCAATAACATAGTTCCCAATTGTATTTGAGGCATGAAATATCATAATGACTATCAAGACGATATCCATAATATTGACCAACATGTATGAGATATGGCTCAGTGAAACTGTGTTTAAACAAGATGACCACCAGTCAGCCATTTTGGATTTGATGGTGACAAAAATGTATGTACATTTGTCAAATATGTCTGATGTATGTGTGAAGTTTACAGCCAAAACAAAGTCAGCTTGGACAATCAGTTGTGAGACATGACAAAACAAACGCAGCCAGTGATACATTTTCAAAATAAAAATACAAAATAAATGCAATCAATGCGCCGACCACGCATGTTGGAAATATCATGTCAATCATTTTAATGTTAAAAAATCATATTCCTGACATGGTTATATTCCAGCTATATTACTATAAACAAAAATATATATCTTAAATTTGATAACTAACGGGGACTGTGCCATGCATGGCTTGTTCTATCTGTATCTATTTTGATGATTTAGTTGCAGATAGAGCAAATGTAGTACATTTATTTCACAATCCAATGCAAATTGGTAGAATGTCAGCCATTTTAGTGCCTAAAAACCAAGCATTTGTGTCATTCCAGAATCAAATTCCTTTGGTTTATACGAATGCAGTCAGAAAACAAGGATTTATGGATTGCCCTTAATGAATGCATGCATACATTCATATCTGGCTATATCTCACTCATGCTTGGATCGATTAATTTCAAATATTATAATGACCATATGCACATGTATTTTTTTCATAATCTGATTCAAGATTGGATCTCAGTCGTGTGTTGATGGATTTGGTTTAAACTTGGTACATATGATGGACACAATGGAGCCTTGACATAAATTATTTTATTTTACGAATCAAAAAACAAACTTTTAATGCACAAGAACACCCTCTCACCAAGAAAATTTGTTTAGAACCAAATCAAACAGAAAATAACCATCAATTTGCAATGATCCATTTACAATACATTTTGAACTCAAAAGTAAATGCAATTGAAAGTGAACAGAGGTGCAAGTTTTTTTCTTTCACCATTACAGACAACTACTGTCAATGTCAATTGTATGCTAATAATGTATGTACTCACAATATTATGTCCTTTAGCTCTCCTACCAAAGGTATACTCTAACGCAGTAGTTGGTTTAGGTATTTCATCTTTGTCCAAAAAACGAAGAATAATTGATGTTTTACCCTGGGGAAATAGAATGTAAAAAATAAATAGATCAATTTACTGTAAAATCAGACCTCAGTTGGTTGACTATTTGATATTCAAATTGCGGCAAGTGACGAGAAGAAAATGTGTGTACCGTAAAAATCATATTTGAGGTCGCAGCTTTAATAGAAGCCGCACCCCTAACTTGAGACATTGTTTCATGTTGAAATTGACAAGTTTTGATCCCAGAAAAAAGTCTGCAATATAAGCCGCACCCCAAACTTTCATAAACCAAACAGCCACCACATATTTCAGAAAAAGGTATACCATTTAATTTTAAATTAAGGCATAATTTTTCGAACATTTCAATCTTTCCTGACACCTAGATAGTCATTGACGCTTATTCCAGAGTACAGTGTTTATTGTGGGTAGCGTGAATGGGTAAACTGTGTTTCGACAATGAGCTGTTATTATCGTCAAAAGATTTAAATCCTTCTTCTGCTTATCTTTCGAAAACAACTAATTTCTTGATTTAAAAAAAAATCATGCCGGTTTCCCATCTAAATCAAACGATCGCACTACAACAACGGTAAATCTTCTCTGTGTTGCGTTCACCATGAGGTCGCTGAACTACCATTAACATATTTAAATGAGTTATTGTAATTTAAACACGTTGGCACCATCCAGCGTTTCGATTGGTTAATTAGCGACTTGACCTATCAGGTCAGAAAAACAGTTTCAAGTCACTAAAGATGTTTGAACAAACATGGCGAATATCGTATCGGATCGAGCATTAATATGTGACCAAAATCATTCTCTCGCGGTGAAACTAAGTTGAGTTTTCACAGCAATTCAATGAATTTGTTTTTTGTACATTATTGTAATCACTACTGAGTAATAGTCATCAATTGTAACACTTCGAAAACAAGTAAGTTATTCACTTGTGTGAAACACAGCATGACCGTTACCGTGATCATTTGCTACTAAGAATGCATTCGTTTTTGTTTTTACTTTTTTTAGAATATACATTTTGTTATCAAAAAAAAATAAGAAAATAAATACATATTATATTAAATAATATACTGAGAATTTTTTTGTTATCATTTGAAAATTTGATTGACTGTAATTTCCCCGATCTCTAAATTAAACATGGAATGTATAGTCACTCTGCCGGAAGTCGAACATGCCAGTAGTCAAACGCAATCGACTGTGTCAGACGACTGTCTCTCAGTTGTGACCTACTAGTATAACAAATTAGTCTATTCAAGAGATTGTAGTATACAGTACCGTAATCTGCAAATGAATGAATGAGGTTTGTTATGAAACCTAGATTGTATCACTTACTGCATCTTTGCTTCCAATGAAGAACACTGATGATTCTTCACCACGCTTCAATCCTTCTTGATTTTCACCTATTCAAAAAACATGATGAGGTGGCATAAGATGTGTTTGATTAAAAAATGTGATGTTTCTTCTAGTATGAAGACTTGCACAAGCATTAAATTTGTAGCTTCATTGGCAAAGAAATTGTTAGCCCTTTAGCCAAATACAATTAACGGTACATAATTTGAATTGGAAAGAAAACTAAGCACTGATATTTATATATACAAGCAGCCTCTCGGCTGAGATAGCAATGCACATTACAATTAAAGAATAGAAGATATCATTACAAAATGAACAAATCTGAGATCGATTCACTTGAGGTACCTATATGTATAATATCAAAGCCATCAAACTTGCAGTTTTCCAAAAATATCACGTTTTACCAAATATGACAAAATAATTCATCAAAATTTTAAAGAAATTGAATATACATTGTATCATCAGGAAATGAATGGACAGACACCGGACAATCATTCATATGATAAGCTTCACTCAACAAATTTGACAGTGGAGCTAATATAATATATACCAGTATATATTTTTATATGAAAAATGCTTTCAGAAACTAAAGTATAACTTTATTCACAGTATTGTAAAGAACCAGTACCAACCTTCAGTTTGGTGTGATTGCCTCTGTGAAATCTCAGCTTCATTTATCGCAATATCCCATAAATTCCTTTCCCTGCAATTTACAAATCATGAGTAGGTGCATGGTTGGGTGCATTAGACATGAGAGGACACCCATTTCCATGACCCAAATTTATACAAGCCATGTATGGCACAGTCCCTGTTAGTTATCAAATTTAAGATACATGTATATAAGTTTTGTTTATAATAATAATAATAATAATTTATTTACCTAGAAAATATTTCATACAATACTCAAAATTGTACATGCAGTCTAGGTAAAATGGAATCTGAAATAGCTTAAAAGCTAGTCGAGTCAGATCCCTGACATAACTTGAATTTAATGACTTAAGTTAAGACTGACAGCAGGTTACACCTCAGTATATTTCAAATAAACAAATATGATAATATAATAATATATTATATATATGTATATACATACATTTATAATAAATATTAGTTCTATTCTAAATACTAGTATTTTTGAATGTAAGTTTTTGTTTAGACCTTAAAGAAATTGATATGCTGTTCCAAAGTTTGGCCCCTAAATAAGATATTGCGAATGTCCCCGCTACTGTGTTCATTCTAGGTACAAGTAAATCATTTCGACATCTTTGTCGTGTTCTATATTTATGATGTAAATACTGCAAATTATATGTTGACATTGATTGTGGGAGATTCTCATGAGTTATATCATAAAAATATCAAGAATTTAGAGAGTATTAAAAATTGGTGGAGCATGCGCAGTAAAGTCGGAAAACGTTATAATTCTGGCTATCATTTTTTGTGCGGTATGTATAACTTTAAGATTTGACGGGTATGTACTACCCCAAACTTCTAAACCATAGGTGATACGAGGCTGAATCAACGTTTTGTACAACAAAAGGAGAATG